GGGCAGGTGTTATCAAAATTTTGCAATTTTATCAGAGAATTTATGATTTTTTTTTTTAAGTCAGGGAAAACCAGGATCTCTGCTTATATACCAGTGGCATAAACAAGCAGATTCCTCACACAGATAGGGAGACAAGACACCACTTTTATCCACTGATGTAAAGCAGTGGTATTATCTATTATGATGCAGATGTGGCAATCTCAAATGACGCAAAGAAAGGCCTTGAAAGCTCTCTCTACAATCTTTAGTAGCTATACACTGATACAGAAGTTTATCTCCTCCAGCATCCAGGGACCCGATACCAGGAGAGTATCTGTATGTGCTCCACAGCCCAGATGAAGAGTCCATGCAGGTAGAAGAGTAGCATCTTAAACATTAAAATTTGTTCATTTAAACAACTAAAATATTAGAAACTATGAAGGAACTTTATAATACCCGCATTGTGTGTGCTGCAAGAAAAATCATGTCTCTATGGACCCAAACTTGGTTGTTCTCATTAGTGAAATCTCGAATACACAAATTCAGAAATAAATCAAATTTCTTGCTTCTTACCAGTTTCAAGCAAGCTTACCTGCTCACAAACATCACGGCACATTAAATTATCCTTCGCCTGGTAACAACATGACATACCTACAGGGAAAAACAGAATTCTTTTTCATTTAAAAATTTAAGCATCTAAGTGTTTAACTACAACTTTGTGTATTCTCCACCAAAGTTCAGATGTTTTGTTATTTATGTTGATTCATTCTACAACTTACCCAGGTTCCTTGCAGGTAAAGAGTGGTGGTGTATCTTGCAGAAGCATGGAGACTAACTATCCCTAAGCCAGTCCATATAGGTCTGTATTTAAGTTGGTGCTGCAACTGCTTGTATTATGTACAAAAGACTTCATAAACCACAGTTTATAACCCAACTTTCACCAGTACTAAAAATTAACTAGTGTATTCATTTACAATAAAAAGTATGCAAAACTGTCGAGAGTAGATAATTAAGTGTCTCAAATCTATTTGGCTTAGATCACAAATGGAAACTCATGGAAACTCGGGAGGTTATCTAATCCAGCCCCTTGCTCAAGGCAAGATCATCCCTGTTTCAGGGAGGTGTTTGTCTAACCCGCTCTTAAAAACTACCGAGGATAAATATTCCACAGCCTTTCCAACTAAGCTATTCCAATGCTTAACCACCTTCATACTTACACAGTCCTTCCTAATATGCAACCTAAATTTCCATAGTTGCAATTAAAAACTGTTACTCCTTGTCCTATTCTCTGTGGCCGCAGACAATAGTTGATTACCATCCTTTATAACCATTCTTCAGGTATTCAAGTTATCAAATTCCCCCTCAGTCTTCTCTTCACCAGACCAAGTCCAGTTCTTCCACGCTTTTCAAGTAAGTCAAATTTCCTAGACTTCTATTCATTTCTCCTGCTCGCCATTGGTCCCTTCCAATTTGTCCATATCTTTTTTGAAGTGTAGTGTCCAAATCTGGGCACAGTACATCAGGTGACACCTCACCAGTGCTGAACAACATGGAATAATTGCAACCCTCGACTTCCAGGTAATGATCCTAATATAACCCAATACACTTACTAAGAAGATCATTAGAGTTTAGTTTACTAAACTAGGATAAAAATATACACTATCATCCATTAAACCAGATTCAAGATATTTAATGTGCATATGTATACACATCCGGGTAAGACTTCTACTGGAATGTCTACACCAGGGCTGGGCAATTATTTAGCTGAGTTATAGCTTACAGGGTCAAGGGACCCAAACACTGCATTTTAGGCATAGATAATATAAAATATAATTTTTCAGCTTTTGATTTAAAAACTTTGCAGAAAAATCAAAATGTTGCCAATGCCCCTGTCATCCCATTAAAAAGGGGACCTACCTATACACCTCAATTTCCAGTTAGGCAAGATTCACATGCAATCATAGACCAATGGTTATTGGATTTACAGGACAAGGGAATACTCATTAAACAAATTAGCCCACATAATTCCCCAATTTTTGTAGTATTTAGTGGAAGTAAACCCCGCATAGTAGTCGACTTAAGGAAGCTGAACAAAGCTACAAAGTTTTTGGGAGGGGGACCAGTGGCACACAAACCTCGTTTAGAGTTACAGGTACGAAAAACTTTGGCGCAGATGACAAATCCTTTTATGGCAGTATTGGATTTAAGCCAAATGTTCTATAGTATTCCCTTGGACGATCCGGAAAGGGTCATGAGTATTACCTGGAGAGGGGTTCAATACGGGTTTACTAGATTACCAGTGGGATGGCACAATTCTCCCAGCATTGCTTCACAGTCTGTAAATAGCTTATTAGCAGGAATTGAGGGCGTTTTTGTATATATAGATGATATTTTCCTCTGTACTGAGGGGAAAGACAAATGCTTACAGTTAATTGATCAAGATGAAGAAATTTTAAATGCCCGTGACTTTCAAATTAATTTAGAGAAAAAACAAGGGCCAGCCCAGACGATACAATGGTTAGGGAAAACATGGACACCAGAACAAATTAGGGCGGATTTAGCATGGCAAGCTAAGGATCAATGGCAGACAAAATTACAGGTTCCAACTACTAAAAAAGAATGCCAAAGAATTACAGGGAGACTCAATCAATTGCGAGACCAACACCCTGAAGTACCCATGGCCGTTAAATTGTTATCTGACGGCATTCATAAAACTGCGGATTTTTCGAAGCTTACTCTGCAGGAAAAATTACGAGACGGAACACAATTGGCAAATCGCATTTTACATTCTGCTCTGGAATTAACTCATCCACAGCCGCTTGTTATGGCTGATGTTTACATTTTGGTACTTCAAGGTATATACCAAATTAAAGTTTTCCAAAAAGGGAGGCTGGTTTGGATTACCGGTGCCAACATTCCCTCTGCCTGGAAAAC